GAAAAGTCTCCCATGTGCATAATTGTGTCTAGCTTAGTTTGGAGAGGAATCACCTGTTCAGGTAGGGCAAGGAGAAAGTACCTTGGAAGGGAGTGTGTTAGCAGCCTGGGATACTTCTTTTTTGTCTTCATCTCCACCCCCCCCCCAAGTGGGATATCAGGCTATACATATTTCAGGCACAAAAATAACTTTTGTGGCCCCTAGGCTCCCAGACCACCACTTCCTAAGTTTCCCCCTTAATTTTTTTAAAAATGTGATTCTCTTTCTTGCTACTCATCATCATACATTTTATAGATGCCAACTTCGAGAAAATGTGTTTTGGGAAATATGGTCACCTTATATTAATGTGTATGCCTACCCCACACTCATATCCGATGTACTTCCCTTCTCCCTTTTTGTTTCCTTCTTTTTCATAGAAGGAACCACAAGGGCCATATAGTCCATCCCTCTGCCATGAAGGAATATAAAACTAAAACACTCCTCAAAGAAGATACCTGTTTAAAGACTTCAGAAGATGGAGAGTCCACCACTCTCTAAGTCCATTCCACAGTCAAACAGCTCTTACAATAAAGATGTTCTTTCTAATGTTTAGGTGGAATCTCTTTCCTTGAAATTGGAATCCATGGGTTTGTGGTCTAGTTTCTGAAGTTAGCTACATCTTCTAAAGAACATCCCTTCAGATCCATCTTTTACATAACATCCCTTCAAATATTTAAAGAGAGCTGTCATGTCACCTCTCAGTCTTCTCTTCACCAAGATAAATTTATCCACCTCCCTAAATATTCCTCATAAGGGTTGGTCTCCAGATCTTTGATCATCTTGGTTGCCCTTCTCTGGATGCATTCCAGCTTGTTTAATAGCCTTTCTCCCCAATTCCTCATAATCATACTTTAAAAAATCCAATCCTTTTTTAAAAATATGGTTGATAAAATGTCCCCAACCAATTGTTGCCCTGGAGTAGTGATTTACTTCCAAACATTGCCCCAACCTGCCTATAAGTCTCACAAACCAGCCAAAAAGTGGCTTAAAAATAATAACTGAAAATAAAAACTTCTCTTCCAGTCACTTTGGGTTGCTATTTTCAGCTATTTTTGACCTGAAATGGGACAGGATGACCCACCAGAGATTCTGTGGCAAAAATTGGCCATTGCACCAACTGCAGTTGCTGCCCTAATGCAAAAGGTTGATGAATGCATGAGTCTCCGGAACTTGTTGGACTGTAAATCCCAGCGTCATGCTATTGATAGCCTATGCTGGCTGTTGCTACTGTGAGCTAGGGTTCAATGGCATCTTGTTGTTCAGATGCTAGGCTCCAAAACAAGAGGATCAGTTGGCCCAAAAGGGGATTCTGATCACATACAATGAAGAACTTCCTGAAATACAAGCTGTTAAATAGCCAGCGTGGTTTAGTGGTTTGAATGCTGGACTACAGCTTTGGAGACCAGGGTTCAGCTCCCTAGTTAGGAAACTGATTGAGTGACCTTGGGCAAGTCACACTCTCTCAGCCTTATAGGAAGGCAAGAACGACACGTCTTAAAATAAATCTTTCCAAGAAAACCCCATGATAGGTTCCCCCTTAGGATTGCCATAAGTCAGAAGTGAATTGAAGGCACACAACAAATAGTGAGAAAAACTTCCTTGGAAGACAGTGGACTCTCTATGGTTAGATATCCCCATGTATATGCCAGGTTCCCACTTGTCAGGAATGTTGTAGCAACAATTTCTTGCCTTGGACAGTTGGAGCAGAAGACTTTACATCTCACGTTTGTGATTCTGCCCTAGGGGGAGTAGATCCAAGATAGGGCATGGCTTCTGTACATTTGAAAAGCTGTGTAGAAGAATACAACTATGTGGGATATGAAGCTTGCCATCAATGGTGCCAAGTGGCACTGATATCAGCTATGAATGTGCTCTGGGTTTTAAAAGACCTGTTCAGACATGTTGTTGTTGTTGTGTATCTTCAAGTCATTTCCAACTTTTGGCAACCCTACGGTGACCCTATCATGGGGTTTTCTTGTCAGATTTACTGTTGCTGGAGGTAAAAATCTCAGAGGAAGGCTTTTTTGGAGAAGATGCTGATGTTTGAATGCTTCTGATCCACTAGGAGGAGCCCATGCTTACTGGTTAGCAAAGCGAAGGACATTTACTGTGTACCAGAAGATACAGAATTGCTCTGTTCCCCGGGCTCAGGTTTTCTAGGTTATAACCTAAAATGCTATGAAATCTATGAACAACTCATTTCACGAGAGACCACAGTGCAGGGTTTCATTGCCATGCTCTAGCCATGCTCCAGTGCTTTGACCAGCAAACAGACTGTAAAATGTTGAGCAGCTGCATATATATTATGGCAGAGAGGAAAAGTGCTACGGTAGGGGTAAGAAAAAATAGTCCCAGATTATTTTTTTGTTTCAGGCTGCCTTACAAGGTATAAGAGCTGGGCTGGCCAAGTAGCTGGCAAACGTACACAGTTCTGAGAAACAGTCAGGAGTTAATTCCTAGTTAAGCAAGCTTGTTGCCTTAAGCCACAATGAGACAACTGCCTCAGGTGGCAGAGGCTGGGGGATGGCACTGGCAACCTTTAAACTGGGTCCTCCTGAGTGTAAATCCCATCTGTCCTGCTCTTCTGTAGACCCTCCAGCGCATGAATACATGGACTCATGTGGCCAAAGGACATCAGAGTGTGGTCAAGGTGGCAAAAGTTATTAGTAGAGAAGAACAGACAAGCTAGGAAAGGCTGCAGCAGTTTGCTATTGTCTGAGCCTACAGGGAAGGGTAACATTCCACCTTCTCCTTTCTTCTCCCTCCTGTTGAATTAACTGAGCACAAACTAATTTTGTGCTTTGAATTCAGGACTTTGTCAACCAGCCGACAGTCCTGCCACAATTGTGCTACTTTGAGAATGGAAGCATACTAGTATGGCATTATTTATTATCACACTTTGCCCCAAGATAGTGCTTTGGCGATCTGTGGTTGCTTGATCTCTTTTCTGCACTGCCCAATGCCACCTTCTGGGAGGAAGCAGCGGGACAAATGGTTGCAGCAGCCAAGCACCTTCAATAGCTTTGTTTTGGACTTCAGCTCCCGGGATCTCAGACCATTCACCAAGATGGCTGAATCTTCTAGGAAATGAATTCCCAAACACCTGAAGGGCATGAATTTGGGAATCACTGCTTTAAGTAATGCCAGACTAGAGAGAGAAAGAGAGAGAGTGGTACTGCACCCTACATATCCTTTCAAAGCTGCCAATCATGTTTCTTTACACTTTCACTGGCTAAAGATGAGTTTAGGCCACTGACCTTCTCTGCCTGCCATCCGTTTGCCTCATGCCATATCGAGACCTGACAGTGATCTCCTTGACACATTAAAAAATCCATCTTTACAGCTGTCTCTTGCTATCGCAGGAGAATTCTCTTTAGATGCTGGAATGATACCGCACCTCCCGTTCAGGGAAGAGTAGATAATGTGGTTTGCAGAAAATCGCCTCCATTTTGGCATGATAAGGCCAGAGAGGCTGTGATGAGGAAACCTGGCAGCCGCTCAGGAAATATATTAACAATTTTTTTTTTGAAATGCTGTTGCAAGCTGGGAATCACAGAGTGAATTGAGGCAGTTGCATGGGATGATTTGATTTTCTTTCTTTTAAGGGCGGCTGGGTGGCAGAGAAACTTCCAGCTGTGTTTGCAAAGGTGGAGAAAGCCTGACAGCTGCAATTGCTGCTGTTCATGGCTCTAGAGTGGAATCCAACCAATGGCAGCCGATGGTCTTTCATACCAGTAGAACCAGTGAATCTGTTGTAGGCTGAAGTCCAAATACTGGTATTACAGGTGCCATCCAAGGTGCTATCCAAAGTGCTGAACCCTATGTTCTAGTTCAGCCCTTTGGTTCATGCCTTTCAAATTCAAGCTAAATCCCAGAGCAGGCTATGCTTGAAATTTTCACTTCATCTCCATATTTCTATTTTTTAAATTGATATTCTTTATTCATCTCCATAATTTTAGCATTGCAGAGAGTGAGACCATGAAACTTCTTCACACTTTGAACTCTTTTTTTTTTTCTGTGTCCACCTTCCTGTGGCCACTTTCTTTGCCCCTTTTCTTTGGATGTCTAAACCCTATTTCTAAATGCTCCGCTGAAATTTTACATTATTGCAATGATAGGCATTTGGGGAGTGAAGGAAAATTTCATTGGGGGCAGAATTCTTATTGGGGGACAATGCACTCATTCTCCCAAAGCTGCAGGCATGTTTTATTCCTTCTGTTTCTGCGGCGCAGCTTTTTTAGGGTAAAACCTGAAATTCTGTGAACCCCCCCAAAAATTCATTTCATTGAATCCAATGCAGAAACTCTGTCCACAGAAAGAGGAATAGAAGAACCAGCTCTTGATGAAGAATCTTCCTGAAACATGTCAGAAAAATAAAGCAAGCCTTTTTAACAACACTGCATGGCTTATCAATGTTTGTTCCACAACAACACTGAAGCACATCTCTCCTTTTCCAACCACTGGCTGTACTGACCAGGGGTTGATGGGAGTTGCAGTCCAGAAGGATCTGGAGGGCCACACTTTGCCTACCATGGTTTAAAGAGAGTTAAACAACACATTTGGCCACAGTGGGAAAGAAGATGACCAGATGATCTGTGTCATCGGTTTGCTCAGTTGGCCCAAATGTTAACTAGTGATGAGCAACTTCGAGTCTCTACCTGCTGGTCTTCCTTATTATGGAGTTTTGGAAAAAAATTTTTTGTTAAACTGACTCATCCACTAAAGGGCTGTTAAAGTAGGACATGTGGCTATCCAAGGCTGGTGGAGAAGTAGGTACACAGCGAAGGAGGGGAAAATGACAGTTCCATAGCTGTAGCGAATTCCTGCTGCCTGTATTTCTGTGCTGTGAAAGCAATGATATAAATAGAGCTCGGCCCGATGCCTTTTGTTGTGATGGCTTCCAAGCTGGTTCTTCATAAACAAATCATTGCATTTGCCAAGTTTCTGCCTTGAAATGAAGGACAGGAGGGAAATATGGAGACGTGTGCCAGGCAATGCTCCTAAGGTAGGTGGTTGTCTTGGGTAATAAAGAGCAAGTGATCTCTGGCAAAGATCCTTCGAGGCCATTGCATCGGATCACCTGCATCCTACATCCACATGTATGTGAATGGAGCTTAGAAATGTGATTTTTTTGGGGGGTACAAAACCTTCCAGAATTCCATAGGTTACTGCATACTCTGGGAGTTGGCAATGCTGGCTGGGGATTCTGGGAGCTGTAGCTCAGTAAAGCTTTTGTGAGAGTTTGGTTGCTATCTGTACACATGCAAAAGACATACAGAGCCACTTCCTCCCAGTATATGTACAAACAACATTAGATGTAGAGAAAAGAGAAATAGCAAAGAGATCTTGTAGCGCTTTTGTGACTACAGACAGGCCTCCATATTTGAGGCTTTGGTTATTCACAGATTTGATTAATATGCTCTCTCTAGGAATCTCTAGGTCTTCCAGTGTGACTCTATGGTCAAGGCTCACCAAAAGTCATCCTGGAGGACCTACAGAGATGTTCGCTAAGGTTTTAAAAATAGTGGGTTTTTTAATTTGCAGTTTTCCCACTTTCATGGGGTCCTGTGCCCCTAACCCCAGCAAATGTGGAAGACTTATTGTAGCTGGTCTCAAAGGTGCTACAAGAGCCCTTTGCATACACATATTCCAGGTCGTAACTCCGATCTCATTCATAGGCTCACAATTAGTGAAGTCAACTTGAGAATCATCATCATCATCATCATCATCATCATCATCATCATCATTGTGTTAAATCTCAGAATAACAATGGAGAAATAGAGGGGGGAGTTTCCCCCAGCTGTGAATCTTTCTTGCAGCCCTCCTCTCTTCTCCTGTTCCAAAGTTTCAACTTTTGTTCTTCTCACCCTCTTCCCATGTGAAATACTCACTGGGAAGTGAGAAAACACCTTGCCAGATGTTGTTGGACAGTAACTTTCAGAAATTTCAGCCAGAACATCCAATAATGACAAATTCTGGCAGTTGTCATTCATCAACATCTGAAGGGCTGCAGGATTACCACCAAGAGAATGGAAGAGCCTTGGGGGCTCAGGAGGGATGTCCCTCGCCAACATCTGATGCCTAAAGCAATTGCCTCATTTTCCAAATAGTTCAGCCAGCGCCAGAAGTGACAGGTGAGAGGATAACATGGGATTCCTTTTAAAAATAAAATTATCACAAGTGCCACCTGGTTCACACCTCCACTAAATGATCAAATACTGAAAAATAATAGGGAGCCTTTGTGGTACAGTAGTTAAATGCCAGTACTGCAGCCACAAGGTTGTGAGTTCGATCCTGCAGGGCTCCAAGGCTAGCTCAGCCTCCCATCCTTTTGTAGGTCGGGAAAATGAATTCCCAGCTTGTTGGGGGCAATTGGCTAACTCATTGTAAACTGCTTAGAGAGACTGCTGAGTTCACTATGAAGTGGT